CCAGAGTAGGAATGAGATAATGAGATATCATAAAAAGATGCCCTGATAAGATGTCGCGCGGCCGCGAATGCGGCCGCGTGGTTCCGGGAGCTGCATATTGTAGTCTCTGAGTCTTGGCCGCTGATGGGATTACACGGCGCCAGGGGGCCAGGTGGTGGGTGTGACCCCCGCCTACTGGAATTTGGAGGATCTGGGTGGAGGATGCTCGACTCCAATTCGAGTAGGCTTGGAGATCTCGGCCCCGGAACCCGCGTGGCTTTGTCCCTCTGCCAGTACCTTCATGTGTGCGGAGAGTGGTCTCAGCATGGTGGTGGCTGGTCCTGGAGGTCTTCGGCTGCCGGAGCCCTGGTCGGGGTGGGGAGGAAAGCTCAACCCGCTCCCCTCCAAGGGACCCCGGCGAGGAACAGCCAGGCGCAGGGGCAGGAGACTGACTGCACTGGTCTCGTCCGGGAGCTGCATATTGTAGTCTCTGAGTCTTGGCCGCTGATGGGATTACACGGCGCCAGGGGGCCAGGTGGTGGGTGTGACCCCCGCCTACTGGAATTTGGAGGATCTGGGTGGAGGATGCTCGACTCCAATTCGAGTAGGCTTGGAGATCTCGGCCCCGGAACCCGCGTGGCTTTGTCCCTCTGCCAGTACCTTCATGTGTGCGGAGAGTGGTCTCAGCATGGTGGTGGCTGGTCCTGGAGGTCTTTGGCTGCTGGAGCCCTGGTCGGGGTGGGGAGGAAAGCTCAACCCGCTCCCCTCCAAGGGACCCCGGCGAGGAACAGCCAGGCGCAGGGGCAGGAGACTGACTCCTGTTATACATCATATACATTATATATGATGTATAACATATATAATAAATTTCACCCATACACATGCCCCAGGCTTACGTTAGGACTGTTATTTATTTTACAACTTTCTACTTGTTTGGTTTTATTTTGTGGGCTGTATCCAGCAGTGCTCAGGGATCACTCCTGGCAGGGCTCCAGGGCACCATACTGGAGATTGAACCTAGATAGGCTGTGTGTAAGGCAAGTGCCCTGCCCACTGCATTATCACTATAGCCCCTGTAACTCCCGGTACCAACTTTATACGTTGTTTTAGGAAAGGTAGAACGCTTCCATCCACAATGGTCGATTTATCTTTGATTTATTATTATAGTTAGAAAAGTAGAGAGATAGTCTTGGCCAGTAAGATGCTCTTAGTGATTGGGATTAAGTTAACTTCTCCCCCTTGACATATTTTGGTATTTCCTTTTCGTTTGGACAAAAATAGAAACTTGAATATGCTTTACTTTTAAGTACAACAAATTTCAACATTGTAGAAAAAGATGATTGTATTAAAATAAAATTGAAAGATCAGAACATTAGTACAGAAGTTAGGGCGTTTGCCTGGCATGCAGCAACCCCTGGCATCCCGCACGGTTCCCCAAGCACCTCCAATTCTTGAGTGCAGAGCCAGGAGTTACCCCTGAGCACTGCTGAGTGTGTCCCCAAGCCCAAAAATAAATAAAATTTAAAATTGATGGGACTGGAGAGATAGTACCTGGGTAAGGTAATAGTAAGACATGAGCACTGCTGGGTATTGCTCCCAAAACAAAATTTTAATAATTAAACATTAAAATAGTAAATGATTGATGATGTGGCCTTAAAGGTTTACTTAGTTTCTCCTTATTTTGCATGCATATATTTGAAAGATGGAAATAATTTACTGCAGGCTTTTAGCAATGTTTAACAAGTTGAAAAATTTCAGTCAGGTCTATTATATACAGACAGTACTTGCTAAGTACTTTTTTTTTTTATTAGTGAAACACCATGAGGTACAGTTGTAGACTTATAGACTTTCATGCTTGGGTTTCAGTTATACAGTGATCGAGTACCCATCCCTCCACCAGTGCCCATTCTCCACCACCAATGATCCCAGTAGCCCTCCCACCCCCCTCTCCCACTCACCCCACTTCTGTGGCAGGGCATTCCCTTTTGCTCACTCTTTCCTTTAGGGTGTTGTAGTTTGCAATAGAGGTATTGAGTGGCCATTGTATTCGGTTTATAGTCTACTTTCAGCACTTGCAGCACCTATCTCGCATTCCGAGCGAGTCTTCCAAACATCCTTTTAAGTAAGTGCTTTGAAGATGAAAATTTCAGATGTTCGATAATAAGATCTTTTTGAGAGGATCTTCCCAAGCAGTGCATATACACTTTGCCAGCTGGCCTGGACTGTTCCGTGCTTGGTGCTGTACAGTGTGCATGTTTGTGGGGCGGTGGTGGGTGTGAGGCAGGGTGCCGTGAGGTGCCAGAGACAGTGCAGGGGCTTGAGCACATAAGATCTGCTTGCACTTCAGCCTGTGAGCTATCTCCTCAGCACCACTGCAGAGTTATTTTCAGAGAAACTTTTAAGTTGATGCTTTGCTGGGACTGAAAATTCATTTAATAGTGCAGCTTCTAATTTTAGCTTTCCATCATGACTTTTTTTTTCTTACTGATGTCCACATCAAAGTTAAGATACATACTTCTGTGATTCACTGGGAGGATGAAAGTAGTCATTAATTTTGTAATCGGCAACTAGAAATACTGTTATAAGGAATAAAATAATACATGCCTTTCTGGACTTTAGGGTTTTATTTTTTTACTTTTTTAAAATCACTAATGTAAGTAATAATAATCTTATGTTGTTAGAATGTTGAGTTTCTTGGAATACTAAGCAAGGCCCTCAAAATGATGTGCTTCTTTGTGCAGTTTTAGGCCAAAAAATGTTTCAATAAAAGATTGCTGTCTTGGGGCTGGAGTGATAGTACAGCAGGTAAGGCGTCTGCCTTGCATGCAGCTGACCCGGGTTCGATTCCCAGCATCTCATATGGTCCCCTGAGCACCGCCAGGAGTAATTCCTGAATGCAAAGCCAGGAGTAATCTCTGTGCATTTCCAGGTGTGACCCAGAAAGCCGGGAAAAAAGATTGCTGTCTTGCAATTAAAATAAAATGATAAGCTTTTCTTTTTTTTTTTTTGAATTTATTTTTTATTAGTGAAACACCATGAGGTACAGTTGTAGATATACAAAGTTTTGTGCTTGGATTTCGGTCACACCATGATCAAATACCCATCCCTCCACCAGTGCCCATTTTCCACCACCATGGATAATATCCCTCCCCCCATTCCCCCCATCCCCCCCTGCCACTGTGGCAGGACATTCCCTTTTGTTCTCTCTCTCCTTTTGGGTGTTGTGATCAGCAAAAGAGGCATTGAGTGGCAAACATGTTCAGTCCAGTCTACTTTCAACCAGCATCTCCCCTCCTGGGAGGATCCTCCAAACACCCTCCATTTGGTGCTCCCTTCTCTATCTGAACTGTCCTTTCCCCTAGAATACCCGGCTGGCCTCTAAGCTATGGAGTAATCCTCCTGGTGTTGATCTCAGCTATTCTTGGGTATTAATCTCATATTTTGTTACTTTATATCCCCCAGATGAATGCAATCTTTCTATGTCTATCCCTCTCTTTCTGACTCATTTCGCTTAGCATGATACTTTCCATATTGTACCACTTGTATGTAAATTTCATGACTTCATCTTTTCTAAGAGCTACATAGTACTCCATTGTGTAGATGTACCAAAGTTTCTTTAACCAGTCATCTGTTCTTGGGCACTCAGGTTTCTTCCAGTTTCTGGCTACTGTAAAGAGTGCAATGATAAGCTTTTCTGATTGGCCTTTTGAACTTCCTTTCAACATTGATTCTACTACCTTCAGAATATATTTTTAAAACTTTCTGTCCAAAAAGTATACAACATATAAGTGAATTTTTAAATAGTAGAAATACATTAATGGGGAGATTAAAGTATCATAAAATAATTTTAAAATATATATTCCTGGGGACAAAGAAACAGTATAGGCAGTGTGGCACTTACCTTGTATATAGCCGTGGCAGCTGTGACCCTGATTTAAATCCCTGGCACCATATATGGTTCCTAAAGCACTTCCAAGGGTCATTACTAAGCATCACGAGGTGTAGCCCAAACCCCCCAAGAAACCCAAGAGGAAAAAAAAATCATATTCCTGTGTCTGTGATAAAGAAGTAATCATAATAGAATTTCATCATGTACGCTTTCAGGTTTATAAGTATGCTTTTGCCTTTCTGGAGTTGGAGATCCCTCTAGGAAGAACTATTTCCTTGAGTCATGACATTCTATTTTTAGCTTATTTAGGAGGTAAAAACATATTTTGATAGAGAGTAAAATTATTTGCTAAAATCTACTGAGTCAAAACATAGATTAGGAGCCAGAGAGATAGTACAGGGTCCAGAGAGAAAAGTACAGGGATTAAGGTGTTTGCCTTGCACACACTGACCCCAGTTCAGTTCCTGGCATCACATATGGTCTCTTGAGTACTGACAGGAATGATTCCTGAGTTAATAGTCAGGAGCATCCCCTGAGTGCCAGGTATGGCCTCTGAACAGAACATCAAAGTAAGCACCACACAATTAGGCAGTTATCTCATTTAAAGCTGATTCACACTTCTGTACAGATCTCATGTAAAGGGCCATAAGTTGTGCTCATGTCAGAGAAAAGATGTTGAATTGTCTTGGGTTATTTGACATTTTTCCTATTATGTCATGTTTTACCCATTTAAGAAAAACTTACCAACTTTTCCTCGAGGCTTTCATCTTGAACTTAGGGGATAAAACCAAGAAAGAAACAGGGCAGAATGAATGGAAAATTCTTTCGGGTTCTGAGCCCAAAGTACAGTGGTTGGAATGCTTGCCTTGCACCCAGGCAACCCAGATTTGCTCCTAGCACCCCACACGGAGTAAGCTCTGAGCACTTCTGAGCATGACTCCGCCTTTAGTCTTTTAGTAAAATTATACAACAAAATTATATACTTAATAGTTTTCACAACAGTAATTATAGGGAGGGAAGTTTTTTAGCTATGTGAATGTTTTTCCTTGTAAGTAAAAATAATTAATTTTCTTACTCCTTTACCAGATTGTTGACTTTAATATTCTTAAACATTTTCTTCTCTCCCCTACAGAATCTGTCTATGATCTTCTCCCAAAGGAGTTACAGTTACCTCCATCTCGAGAAACATCTGTAGCATCAATGAGTCAGACAAGCGGTGGTGAGGCAGGCTCCCCGCCTCCAGCTGTAGTTGCTGCTGGTATGCATTTTATTTACTTTATTAAAGAAAACTAGTATATTACCTAGCCAACATGAACAGTGTTGGCGAAGTTTGTATCGAAGAGTGTGATTTGAGCGTTTGTTAGGAACTTTCAAAATCTATACTCAGTTAAAATTTTCTAAATATAATTTTTCTTAGTATTTCATATTTGCATTTCTCTTAGACCGTCTCTGAGAGGGAATCATGTCTTTGAAGATGAGAATGAGTTTAAAACTTGTTTTTTGATTATACACTGAAAAAGGTTAAATACCAGGCTATGGATAGAAAATTGTATTTGAGTCTCTAACAGTTTTTTTTAATTAGTTCAAATAGAAAATATTTTGTATAATTTGAAAAAGGACTCAAGTATCTTTTCTACTTGTAGCATGTTACTATAACCTTTTCTCTCTATTTAAAAATTTATGACTTTTTAAAATCTATTTGGAAGTAATAGAAGATTTTAATATAATATTTGTAATGTAAATACATTTTCTTATATTCATGAAGTAGAAGTGCTGTTTGAAATTTATTTTTATTCGACTCTCAAATCACACACTTTATAATTACATAAAATTGGAACAAATTTTAATTTTAAATTAGGTAAAAGATGATAAACTAATAAAAAAGTTGATAAATTACTAAGAATGCTTTCAATAATATTTGCTTTCCCAGCTCCAGTTCTTTTTATAGTTTGCTAAGTTTGTTGGTATTTTAAAAGGGAAAATTACATATATATACATATATATGCTCCAAAGTTTTTTCTGCCCTATTAATGGTGCATAATGGCATGTAAAGTTTTTTAGAGCATTATAATGAAGAAATTCTTTTTATTAAACACAAGTGAAGCAGAGGATTGTCATTTAAATGAAGACTTTTGAGTATGCTTCAGATATTTTTCTCATGTGCATTGACCAGTGTACCCCTAACCAGTCTTTGCTCTGAGCTGCAGTAGACAGCCTTCCTCACTGAGCTTCGGGCAGTTTTAAATATATCAAAGAACCTTAACCTGCCCTGCTCCCTATTCATGTATTGCCAGATATTTTTATTGGCAAATCTGTGGATTTAATTGTGGACATTTATTAATAATTAAATTGGCAAGGTGACTGTTTTCAGTTTGCAACCACTGGACTCCAAAAGTCCCCAAACAATTTTTTTGAAATTTAAGGTTTTAAGTCTAGTTTTAAAATTATATTGAATCATAAATGTTAATATTAAAGTAGACTTTAATAAAATGCTTCACTTTAAATCCACAGGTAGAAATTAACTTTGTATTTTGAAATTGGTTTTTAAAGATATCTTGGTTTTGAATAGAACTAAAAGTCTGTTTCTTCTGTGCTGTGTAGCATCTGTTGACAGTAGATCCAGTCCTTTTACAAGCGGAAAGAAGATTAGCTAGGTTTGGGAAAAGAATACTTCCTTTCAAATGACACTAAATTCAATTTCAAAGTGTTATAAATATTGAAAGTGTGTAAATTAGTCACTTATATTGATTTTCCATATATTTGAGAAGTTAGCTTCAGATAAATTAGTTTGGCTGGTATGAGTTGAGAATGATGGGAACAAAAAAATTATCCAAAGAAAGTAGTCTGAAGTAAAAGAATCTTATTAGATACAGAAGTTATTGATATTGTGAACATGATGAAGAGAACAGAGGTAGCCTTCAGTTTTCTTAGTACAGAAAAACTATATGATCTAAAACCAATTCATTTGTAATTTTAAACATAAGTTTGCATTTACTAATATTGCACATTTAATAATATTGCACCAATGTAGCCTTATTCTCAAATTACAGTATTGTAGGTATCTTTTTCATGTTCCATATGGACAAGAGAGTTTAAATTACAGAATAATTATTGTAGGAAGATGAGTTAGTTTGTAACAGTAGGATTTCTTTTTATTTGATACTACTATCCTCTGTGACATATTGTCAAGGAGAGGTATTTGTAGTTAAGCAGCCAGTGTTTCCTGGTCAGAAGACTAGGCACAGGACTTACAGTACCAGCGGGTAGGGCACTAGACTTGCACGCAGCATATTTGATCCCCGGCACTCCAAATGGTCCCCCAAGCCCTGCCAGGAGTGAACCCTGAGTGCAGAGCCAGAAGTAGGCACTGAGCACTATTGGGTGTGTCCCAAAAAACAAACAAGCAAAAAGACTGGATGTCTGGGGAAAGACAAATTAATTTAGACTTCTGAGAGATTTTTTTTTAATCTATAGCATTTGCTGTTTAAATATGAAATGGTTAAAAATGATGACTCTTGACATAGTTAATTCTTCAGAGTTTTGAAGGAGCAGGATTGGCTGCTATCAGGTATGAGGGCCTGATGGAAACAGACTTCTAGTTCTGCTATAAAGGTTTGTGTTTCACAAATTTTAAATCAATTTAAAATTTAGAAACTGAGCATATAGGTCTTCATGTACATTCTTTATTATTTAATTGTTAAAAATGTATTTCTTAGATTCACCAATCTAGACTTTTTTCCCTTTTACATACTACTGAGAAAGTGAGTAAACATGATGCTGCTAATCCATAATCCAGAATATTGGATAAGAGAGTGTCTCTCAAACCTTTTTCTGCCTCTAATACTACTCACAATTTCACATATTCTCATCAGTAGCATCTTTTTATTGGTAAGTTCCGGGGGAGGGGTGGGGGGAGGACGTATTTCTACGCAGCTTCTCTTTCCATGGAGCCAAGTATCAAAATCTGCGGGATGCAGTTGAAATTCACCCATCTGAAATTTGTATTCCTCCCCATTTTCAAAAAAGACTTCTATTTTTGTCTTATAAGTAAGGTAGCTATGGGGTTCACTGTGTACATGAATAAAGGTTTTAGAAATACAGACTTTGCTCTTAGTAGTTAAGACAAACCATTTTCACAACACTGAAAATTACCCAGATGAATTGATGGTATTGTTTCTGCAAAATACAGAGTTTTTGTGATCATACTCTCTTAAATATAAAATCATGCTTAAAAGTTAGCATTTGTTAAATCTGAGCACAGATATGTAGGTTTTGGATTTAAATATTAAATATATTTATAAAAAGTATACCAAGTTTCGGGCCAGAGAGATATGATATACAGGGTTAAGGTGTTTGCCTTGCATATAGATGACCCCAATTCAGTCCCCAGCATTGCGTATGGTTCCCTGAGCATCACCACATACTGTCGCCAAACAGACATACAAATAAAATACACACCAGTTAGGGACCAATGAGATTTTCTTCGAGCACATGCCTGGCATATACAGGACCCTGAGTTTGATCCCCATCATCACCTGCCCCAGCACTACTGGGTGTGACCCTGGGGTTCTCTTGAGTACCACTAGGCTCAAGTATTTTCAAAAGTGACCTCTACGAAAGTATTTTTAAAGGATAACCATGTGGTAGATTATTTAAAATTCCCTCTGAACTGTGCTCTTAAAAAGTAACAGAAGATGGTGCTGGAGTGATACAGTACTTTGTTTAAGGTGCCTGACTACCTTTCGGCAACCTCAGTTTGATCTCCAGCATCCCATAATCTGCTAATATTGCTGGATGTACGTAGCTGGGAGTTGTCTCCAAGCAAGGCTAGTAGTGCACCCCCCCAAGAAACAAAAACCAGCCCCCCATTCCCAAAATGAGTAACAAAAAATGTAGAGTATATCAGATACATGATGAATTTACTTTTGGCATAAGTACATTAACTTTATTTTTAAATTCACATGTGTGTTCATTAGCTATACTTAATTTAGTCCACCATGGCAACATTAACTCTTCCCTCCCTCCCCCTTGCCTTCTGTATTACTGTCAAAGTAAATTGCTGACTTTTGGGGGAACCAGAGCACTATTCCTATACAGTAGATAGGGTGCTTGCCTTGCACGCAGCCAACCTGGATTTGATTTCTGGCACCCCACATAGTCCCCCAAGCCCCACCAGTAGTGATCCCTGAGTGAAGAGCCAGGAGTAAGCCCTGAGCAGCACCATGTGTGGAACAAATTTATGATAAAAAGAAAATTAGGGGCAGAGAAATGGTAGAGGTTAAGGCATCCCTTGGCGCCCCTTGTCTCGCATCCCATTGATCCTAGTCTGAATCCCCAGTATCACATATGAAAGGTTCACCAAGCACAGCCAGGTGTCAGTTGCTCCCTAGCACACAACCAGAAATTCTGGTGTGTGGCCATTCCCTATAGGGAATGATATATAATAATGAAATAATAATATATTCATTATTATAATAATGAATAATATAATAATTAAAAATGAATAATGAAAAAGCACCTCTAAGTCTGTCGCACTCCCTTCCTCATTATATGCATTAGAGATTTATTTATTTCTACTTATTCCTTCCCACATATTAAATCTAACAAGATTCGAATAGGGTTTGGAAATCACAAAGTCTTCATTTGTATCTGATCACTATTATCATTTATATCATGAAACATAGGTTCCCAAACTTGATTCTTTTCAGAAAAAAAAAATTGTTCAATACCACCTTCTTTAAAGGAATAGAAAGCGTTCCCTATTACACAAAGGTTACTATTGCCCCCTGGATCATTCCAACCCCTTTCCTATGGGGGTGGTATTGTCCGCTTTTGGAAGCACTGATGTAGACACAAATCTGTGAAAGTTATAAAAATTTCTAATAATAGTCTTTTAACTATGCAGTTACATCAAGTTTTAAGGTTATTATGAAGATAAATATTTAAAATGCTTAATGTTATTTGACAATTTGCCATCATCAGTAAACACTGACCTCCCTCCTACATGTGTTTTTTTCTAAGTTAGTAAGGTTTAAAAATAGATCTTACCAGCCTGGAAAGATCATCCAGCACTCACCCAACCTCCATTTGATCATTGACACCGCCTGTGGTCTCCCAAGCACAGCCAGGAATGGTCCATGAGCACAGAGCCAAGAATAAGTTCTGAGCACTGCTAACTATGCCACCCCCCAAAAAAGATCATACTTTGGGGGCCAGGGAAATAGCTCAGAAGTCAGGGGCACGTGCAAAGCATGCACA